GCAGTGAAGATGGAAAGTAACAGACCAACTAGAGAGATCACTGGGAGATACGACCATTTGGACTTGGTGACTAGATATGTACTGAGAGAGGACAGGCTTCAGTGATTTCTTAGGGTAAACTGAGGAAAGCTCTCACGTAGTCCTAAAGCTTTCCATTCTATATCCTTCCTAGGTTAGAAAGAGACAATTCTATCCTTAAAAAATATCCTTTCATTCAGTTTAAAATTCTTTTGCCCACCCAAACTTACCTTCTTTTAATTTAACAAAACTTATAGTACAAATAAAAACGTACCCCTTACATGTAAAAATACTAGAGCTATTAGAGGTGAAGCACCAAATTTCAATTGAGTTTAGATTATACCATTCCTATTTAGAAATATAAGAAATTCACTCCTCGGCAAGCAATCTTATAGGTATATGTAGATGACTATCACCATTATACAGGTGAGGAAACTAAAGTACTAAATGATTAAGTCTCACCAAGTAACCTAGAACCAGAAGTAAGAGTTGAACTTAGGTTTTACAGCTCTTAATTCAGTTTTCTTATATGCTTAAGTTCATTTTATATAAGCTATATAAAATAATCTGTATAAAGATGATTCCTAAGTTTTATAAATTATTCCATATTATTTCAAATGCATTAAGGGGTAGTAATTCTACATATATATGTTCACTGGATAATAAGTACTAAACAACTTTAAATTATACAATCATACCTAGGGAAACTAGAATGAGGTCATGATAGGAAGGAATAAAATGAGCCATGATCTTGAAGCTATGACTGACCTTTATACATATACAACTAGGTCTCAGTTCTTAAAAACACCACAAGATCGGATTAGAGAGGCACAGTCAAATGCTCTTGAATTACATACAATAAATTAATTTATATGCAAATAGTACTGTATAAATCATCTGCTTACCCTGTCTTTCAGAAAATGCTTTCATATCTCTTGCCAAAATTATTTTAATTTGCTTTAAGTCGACCAAGGAAAACAAAGACAAAGGAATCAATTAACTGGAAAGGCAAATTATGAGTAACATTAAAAAGTTATCAAATTACCTTACAGAATAAATAAGGATTGATTTGTAGAAACTGGAAAGTTTCATCTTTTATGAAAAATACAAATAAAACAATGGATGTGGATAAATTGACTGTATTTTTTTTTTTAATCAATCAATCAATTAATTTTTTATGGGGGCATTGGTTAACGAAATCCAAAGAGTTTCATTATACAAATAAAACAATGGATGTGGATAAATTGACTGCATTTCTTTTTTTTTTTTTTTTAAATCAATCAATCAATTAATTTTTTATGGGGGCATTAGTTAACGAAATCCAAAGAGTTTCATCTGTACACTTTAACAGTAAGGCGCATATATATTCATACTGTGTGTTCACCTCCCGTAGTTAGATTTCTTTCTGTCACCACATATTTGACCCCCTTTACCCTTTCTACCTCCCCCATCCGCCCACCCTCTGGTAACCACTAGTCTATATGACTGTATTTCTAATTAGCCAAAGAAGAGAGCAGAAGATGAGAGGAGACACTGCACTTCGTCCCTGGAGCTTTATGCAGAGCCTGGGCGAAGTGCTGCTACACTAGAGAGTCTCAGGCTGGGCTGAGCCAGAACTCTCCAGTCCCACGTTTCTGATCAAAAGTAACCAGAGCTGCCCTGCGATTCAGGCGAAAAAGTCCATAGCTCCAAACTTTAACTGCCAAACCACATGCTCAATAAGAAATACCCTGAATTACTCTGTAACCAAAGTGGTTATAGATATTTAAAGCTAGATGTCTTATTCAACATTGGTATAAGATATATATTAATATATGTCAATGTATATTATTCACCTCCTGAGATGAAAGGATTCTGTAAAGAGGCTGAGTATGATTGTACTAGCACATAAACTCACAGGTTAGAGAGCAAAGCCACAGTGATAACAGAGAGAAAATTTTAAGACTGATATTAGAAAATTCTCTAATTTATAAAGAAAGGACTCTAATTTAGAAAATTCTCTAATTTATAAAGGACTACATATACAGTTAAAGTACCTAGTGTAAAAACATGTACAAAGAATGTCCATTTTAACATTTATTATATAGCAAAACACTGGGAATAGCAATAAAGAAGTAGTTAAATAAATGATGGTCCACCCATACAGGGCGGCAATGCGGGAACATGTGACATGCATGGCACACCACACAGGTGGATCTGTATGGGAGGGTACAGAACGAGCTCGGGAATATATTAAGAGAAGTGAGATGTAGCACAGCATCAACGGTATGGCGTGGGAAGATGACTTATTTTCAAGGAACAGCATAAATTAAAAAAGAAAATACCTCGTGGTATCTTCTCGGCAGTGCCTCTTCTGCTCCTTGAACTTCTTTTTCCGGGTATTCTTTTGTCCTTCCCCAAGAAGTCCTGCCCATCTTTGGGGCCTTCACAAGGAGCGTTTTCCAAGTTCTCACTTGCAGCCACCTCACAGCGCGGCGTGCAGCGTTCGTTATTGTTTAGACTGTCCTGCTCAGACACTCCGGGTTTGCCCATTGCACTGTCACTGCTGCTCAGACGCGCATGCCCGTCTGCGTCAAGTTGATTTTCATTTTCGTCTGATGCAGAAGGCAAGTGTGTTACTGTACTTTCCACGTTGTCACCAGGATGACATCCATCTTGTGGTTCTATCTGCAGATTACATGTAGGAGTTTCACTGTCATCCATTAGAGCATCTTTTGTTGAACCATTTAAGTTTCTTTAAAGTCCTTCCATGTCTACAATGACAAAAAGAGAAAAGCTACTTCATTTTATAAACTCTGTATTCTCAGTGACTTTTCATTTCCTCTCCTCTTGAGTTGTCTGACTGTTACTAGGGAAGAAAAGGAAATGATTGAAGCTCATTGCTACTACCTCCTCCCCACTTACCATCCCACTCCATCTCACCTCATCTAGTTCTCACTTGAATACAGTCGTTCTCAACCCTGACTGCAAGTTAATTACTTGTGGAGCTTGTCCAATTCTATACTAGACCTATTAAACCAGAATGTCTATAACTACGTATGGTGTCAGATGAGTACTAAACATTTCGGAGTGATCACTTCGTAAGGTGTATAAATGTCTAATCATTATGTTGGACACCTGAAACTAACATAATATTGTATGCCATCTGTAACTGAAAAGAAAAAAAAATTTTTTTTAAATCATAATGTCTGAGGATCTGGCCCAGGTACTGACATGTGTTTTTAAGTTCTCAAGGTGATTCTAATGCGCATCATGTGGAGATCACTGCCTTAGTAGAATAAGTTACTGGTTAAATGAGGTTATCTGCCCAAAATCATTCATTCATGTTATCCCAGGACAGTTAACCAGACAAATGAAAGTTGTATAAGCCCTTGTCTGGCCAAACAGCAGCAATATTTGCAAATGAAAACAGCTGAACACATTTTTAAAATTAAGTGAAAAAAGGCATTTTTTTTACACTATATTCTCGTTATGTCTTTTACTTTCTGAAAATAAGCTCTGGAAAAGTACCTTAGAGTTGTTAGCAATTCCTTTTATATAATTAAAAAATAAACAAATAACAAGGGCTATGGTTAACTCTAGGCTATCTAGTTTAGAGTTGGAAAAATCTAAATCTGTTCTGAGGATCTTAACATTTTAAAGATCTACAAAATGGATTGTCATCCCTTTATCAGTTATGTTTTAATCTGCTTTTATCATCCAAAAGTACTTTTTAAGAAAAATGATGCCAGCCAGATTTATTTTTATTCTTGCCAACCATTATTTTGGGTTTGGATTAAATATAATAGTCATGTAATTCTGGAAAAAAACCTCAGTGATAGGAATTTTAAAATATTATTCTAATCAATATACAGAAATGCTTACTCTTTAGAAACATGTAAAGTATAATTCTTTAAAAATACGCAAAGGAAATATAAAATATAACATTAACTCTACACTGATTGTATCATATGCTTTCAACATTTTGCAACTGGAATATTTGATTTGGACATAAAAGTACTGCTTGGCAAATATAAAAATATCTAAATCTGGGTGATATAATTTTCCTTAAAATATATATTACATATTCCCAGGTATGCAACATAAAAAGTAAAATGATTTAACCTGACTAGAATAACTCAGTGTAGACCTAAAAGAAATTCTAGATGATAATTTTTACTTTAAAAAGTTATTATTTTAATGAAGTGCCTTCAAGGTCATTAACATGAGAGAATTCAAACTCAAATGAGTTTTAAAGTATGCATCTAAAAAAGTGGAAACAACCAAAAACTAATGAATAGAAAAACAAAATGTGGTAATTCATACGTATTATTAATACTATTGTACAGCCATAGAAATGAATGAAGTTTTGACACATGCCACGACATAGACAAATCTTGAAAACATTGTGCTAAAGTGAAATAAGCTAAGACACAATAGGAAAAATATGGCCCGAGGCCACTGACATGAAACATTAGAACAGACAGAAAGCGGGTTAGAGGTGAGCAGGGACTGAGGGTGGTGGAACGGGAGTTACTGCTTAAAGGTTAGAGTTTTTGCATAGGGTGATGCGAAAGATTTGGAAACAGATAGTGGTGTTGGTTGTATGACAGCATGAATGTAATTCATGTCACTCAACTGCACACTTAAAACTGGTTAAAATGGAACATTGCATGTTACATATATTATCACAATAAGAACAGTGAAGTTTATATGGTTATGTAAGACAAATGAAATGTCAGCTCTTAAAACTGGTAATAGCCTCAGCTGATTTTTTAATTTAAACACATCAAGGCACATTCTGACATGTATTTGCAGTTGCAAGTATAAAGTTTTTACCTGAATGAGACACAGAGATCACAGCCAAGGGGGACGGTGGGAGGCAGAAAGGAGTCTAGAGAGCCCAAAACGATAACTATCATCTCTTACTGAGTCCCTAGCATATGTTAGAAACTGTGCCAGACACTTCACATACCTTATTTCTAATCTTCCAAACAATCCTACATGGGATGTATTCATTGTGTCTTAGGTGAAGAATCTGAGGTTTGGAGAGGCAAAAACAACTTGTTTAAGATATTCTTAGAAAGTGGAATTGGATCTGAAACCAGGTCTTCCTGATTTGAATCTCATGCAGTACCTCAAAATGGCTGCGAGCAGAGGCAGACCAAGGCTCAAGTTCTGGCTCTACCTTTTAACAAACTGTGTATGACCTCGAGAAGTCACCTCGCACCTCCAAACTTCAATTTTCTCATTTGTAAAAGTGGAGAACTTTAATACCTAGTGGAAGAGTCATTTTTAGAAGCTTAGACAACATAGCAGGTAAGGCACTTAGCAGAATGCTTGGCCCACAGTAAATGCTCAGTGAAAGGTAGCCATTATTACTTGCTGAAAAATCTCACAGCTTGGCATTAAACACTGGTAGGTTTACCCAGGCAGGTCCACAGCCTTACTGCAGGTACAGAAACAGCGCTTTTCCAAACCTTCCAGGAATGATTAAGTTCTTGATGACAGACTAATGTTAACCAACATCATAAATCACTTGAGAATGCTGGGAAGTATTCATTCATGATGGGGATATCTCATGTGGTGCTTGGATTACTGATGCATCTGTTCTGTACACCCTCTTTCAGATGATTAAGATATCTAGATATTAGTGATTAAGGCTCCTTGGTGAGTATAAAATTACAGATCACATTCACAGCTTTGTTTAGTGTCATGTCCCAGTACTTGAGTAAAACTCTTCAGATCAATACTTTTATTCAATTCTCACAATTACCTGAGCAGATACGTAATTTTCATCTCATTATATTAATGAGGAGACCAAGTATTATATATTATCAAGAGTCATGCAGCTAGCAAGTTTAGAAATGCAGTTTGGGTGAATTATGATCCTGACGCCATACTCTTAATTAGTATACTCTTTGGACAATGTGGAGAAAGTAACCGAAAGAATATTTCACTTCAGCTAAGGCAGACCCCAGTGAGGAATGTCCACCCTGCAGTGGAGGGCAGACACATCTTTAACGACCAAAAAGTTCAAGTTCATTGACTTCTTTCTTTTTTTTTGTGCTGTATCCACACATTACACCGTTTCCTATATGGCCTACCTTCTTTTATTGAGAACTTTTTTTTATATATACTAATATACTATTTAAGTTAAGAACCTATTACCAACCAGTAAAGTTGGCATTCCCTCCCTTGGGCTTCAAGACATTTGCCTCCTATGATTTTGTGATGATGTAATTAGCTTAATTCCCAAAAGGTAACTTTTAAACTACTATTTTTTTTAAACACTAATTCTTACAGTCTTTCCAAGGTGCGAATGTCCTACAACTAACTACTCTTACAAAACACCTACCAATCTTTCAAGTCCTGGACCAAAAGTCACCCCAACTGGCCTGCCCTGACTTCTCCATTCCAAAGATAACATGCTCCTCAAGAGTGGTCTGTACCACCACAGTCCTTCCCCAATGCTGTCCTATGTATAGTTTTGCATATGCGTCCTACTGGATTTAAGCCATTTGAATACCCATAACCCACCCACAAATAATTTTCATTCTTCACAATGTCTAGCGCCGGGCCTTGTACTTATTAGCAACATGAAGGAGTAAGGGACAATTTCCTACAGGTCCTCTGAAAAGGAAGAAGTCATGCATGTGGATTGCCATCCACGCCACGCCCCTATCGGACAGGTAAAGGGACATACTAGTACACAAGATTTGGCTTCCGTCTGCATTCCAACACATTTCAATTAGAATATTTTAATCCAAGCAATAGGATAACTTTCTTAATGGAATTTCTAATCAGTACAGTCCTACTATCTTTGGAAACAGTTATAAATATGTTTTTTTTTTTTGTCTCTTCTTCCTCTTCTTTCTTCTCCCTCAATGCTATACTCACATCGTTTTGATCAGCATAAAAAAAAAAAAACAAAATAGAATGAAAAACATAAAAAATGAAAAATATGACAAAGTCAAAAGGCTGTTGTTCCGATGCATCTGTATCTCACTATAAGAAAGCACTGAGGGAAGGGAACACCTCCAGGAGAAAAAGAGCCGCTTGATACACAGCATTTTAAAATATGTTCTAATGTTGTATGGGACCTAGAGGTTAGAAGTAAACTTGAAATGGCATCCAAGGTTATTTGTTGTATCTAAACCGTATGTCTATCCTGTTAGAGTCCCTATGTCTACAACCAGTCCTCACAAAATAGACAGTGACACACTGTGATCACTGCACAGCACTGACTCTGGCATATTTTGCCTTTTAAAAGCATGACAGTGAGTGCTGCCCAAGTTTCCAGCCTCTTGTGGCAAAATAGTATTCCAAATATGTCCATCGTATAAAAGTTATTTGACATGTTGACTGTGCACAACTGAAGAATTTCAAGCAAACATATTCAAGCTTGGCTTATACAAAACTTGAAAAACCACAAAACTTTGAGGAAGCTTTAAATAAACAAATAATACAGAGTAATGGACTAAAAAAAATCTACATTTTGTCAAAAATATAATCTCAATCCCGGTATGATTTGACTTCATTTTTGATATATCTTATTGGATATCTGATGAGATTAAACATCAAGTGTTACTAATTTAAAAATAATAGGAATAGTTAAATATGGAATATCACGCAATTATTTTATTTAAATGTTTTAAGGAGATCTTAGGTGCCATTTTTTTTTGTAATTCATACAAATTAGGCCTAAATACAATGTTTTTACTTTTGAAAGAAGCCAAGATTCTTGAGAATTAAGATGTGACCCCAAGTTTAA